GTTGCTGACTGAGATTAAACCATGACAAACAGCCAAGGTCAAAAGCAGAAGAGAGAATTTCCACGATTCTGCACAGAAGCTGTAAGCAAAAAGGTAAATAATACTGGTCATGCCAGTACACACTGATGTAATGCTCTAGAGTACTCTGGGCTCCAACTGGTAAAAGTTGCATTAAGAAGTATGGCTACCTTTTATTCTCTTTCTACAGACGTGTTTTTCTCATGCTTTTTCAGAATTGATGAAATAGCTTCCTAATATCAAGCCTACATAGGAGCATCAGACAGAAGAGAAACTCTAGTAGTTACATCTGTGTAAATCCCTGTTCTGTGCATCACTATTTCAAAATAAGCTCAGCCAAGACATGGATGATGACCTGAGAACAAATAAAACAATCTCACACATTTTCACAGAACACTAATTTAGTTCACCTATTGTTTCTTGGTAGGATGTCCAGAAGAAGGGAGAGGAGGAGAGGAATTAACTTATGCCATTATTTAAGAGCCGGACATGATCCTTCCTGCATGCCCATGCAAGGACACACACTCACTTTTCATGCACTGACTGCATATAACGCACCAAAATCCATGGAGGACAACAGAAAATGACTTCATGTGAAAGCTGGCAGACATCTATAGAGTATAGCAGAGCTTTAACTCCTCCTGACGCAGTTATGCAGGTGTATTGCAAAAGGTATCTTCTGTCAGCTATCAGGTTTGCTGTGGACATATTTCTCACATAGAAGTACTTAAGAGAAGTTGTTCCCTCATAAAAACTCCAGAGCTGTGCACCTAAGTTTCTGTTTTGTTTTATGGTCATGCACTTTTTGAAATTATCTAAGTTTGTCTTCTACATTGTTAGTACTCTGTCTTCATAATGGGGAAAAAAAAGAAAAGAAAAATCAATGTGCTATTACCCTGTCAACCTACCCTTGCAAGAATTCTTTGAACATCAATGCTTAAGTAGGAAAAATGTATGCATTAGCATCACTAAGCACACTAATTTTTTTTACTTTAACATAAAATAGGAATTAGATGCAAAAACTGATTTAGTGTAAGAAGCAAGGGCTCACAGCGGAAGTAGAAAGATAAATCAGTAAACAAGTGTCCTATAAAACATTTCACTATGCAGAAAGTACACTGTTAACAAAAAAAAAGGTCTTCTAAAAATATCTACAGCGTGATCCACTGTGAACCAAATCTGAGGACACTGCCCTCAGATGCCTGCACCCACAAGTTCAGTTTAAACTGCCCTTCCTACTGAAGCAGTCAAAACACCACATATGTAAACCTGAACACATAAAACGCATCAGGGTTATTTACACATATCAGGGATGCTTGAATCATACAGCTCTGATTACACATACAAACAGAACCCACAACAGGGAGCAACTGTTTAGTGACGATTTCCCAATGTCTCAATTACATGTACCAGAGTTGTTAAAAAGGCTCTGAGGAGTTCAGTTTATATTTAGAAAGGTATACACTTAGCTATTGGGACAGGAATAACATGAATTTTACAGCTGTTAATAAAAGTTTCATTTGGACAATTGGTCAATACAAGGTTTAAGTAAACATTGTTGCTCACAGGTTTAGAACGTGTGGGCAAATGACATTTACTTTGTAGGCAGCATGAACTATATAACTGGTATAAATTGGTCTTCGAGAGCCAACAACTGCAATATCTCATTCATCAGTGTACTTAGAATTGTGAACTGGAATTCCAATTACTGAACAAAGTCTATTACCAATTTGAGTCACTTGGGTAAAAAACCCTTTTCTCTACCTCCATAGTAGTTAATTCTCTCAAGTTATTTTAGGAACAATCAAGAGGAATGAGTCTACTAACACAGAGTTTGGCTAAAATAAACAAAGCAATCACTATATCCACTAATATAATGCTACAAATCTGTAAAGCAATTTAAAAAAAATAAAATAAAATAAACAAAGCAATCACTATATCCACTAATATAATGCTACAAATCTGTAAAGCAATTAAAAATAATATAATTTACTACCTATTAGGACACGCTGCTTTAAAGGGTTAACTTTAGCAGACCACCTTTTGAAAATAACAGAAAAAAGTCAAAGAAATTATTGCATTATTATCGTATTTGGTTTTGAATATAATTATACCTAGAAAAAAGATTTAATAAAGCCCCCATAAGCAGCTTTTAGTTTTATTTTACTTTTTGAGATAACTGAACTTTGGAAGTACTAGCTTTCCCTTGAACAGAAATGCTGTTAAACGAGGCACATTTTTGTTGCACATAAACTGGCAGTTGCATTGTCTCAGGCTACTGAATATATTCAACTTGCCACTTTTTTGACATATATGAACAATACATTACATGCCTGGAGACAAACAATATATACTACTATACAAATGGTTTCATAAAAGAAGATTATAGTGATGTCAACAAATAGCCAATTCTCAGATTCTGCTTTTTTCAGATATTCTTTTTGTATTAGCTGCCTGCAATGCGTATTTACCAGGATACCTTTTATATGAAGTATTGCCACGGCAGGAACATGGAAAAAATACTGCTGTAAAGCTAAGGAAAGATCTGATACAACTTTGACACTAAGCATAGGTTTCACTTAAGCTGAGAAATGGAAGAGAGAAGTAGAACTGTATTTACATACACTACTTACCCGGGTGAAGGTACCCTCAAAACTGTGAATATCCAGTTGTGGCTTCTGAGCATAAACATAAGCATTGATTGAAAAGAGATCCTGTAAAACAGATTAATGTATTTACTATTATTTAAACTCAAATTTAATCACATATTTTGAAGAACCTTTTAGTGGTAAAGATTCCAGTTTATGACCCCCACCACCCCACCCCAAGTTAAGCTCACAAAATTTTTACCCAACTAAGAAACACGCTGTTTTTTCAGTACACCTTGCTATAAAGGAACCAGATCCAAGATGATATTCTAAATGTGTTGATAGTTCAAATACTAAACTGTTTTATATTTATAACATGAGTTAGAAATTTTACCTAATTTATTTTCCCTGAACAGGCCCATTTTAATTTATAATAGTATAATCTTAAAATATTTTCCATATATTTGTTCTTTTAAAAATAAAGTGGGGTTTTTCTTGTTTTGTTTTTAATGAAACCAGAAACAAAATACTTTTCCAGCAAGGACAAAGCCAACTGAATACAAGAGGAAACAATGAAATTGATTCAAGTTCTCTTTAAATGCTCAAGCACATTTGCAGTCAACCCATGAGAAAACCCCATCAGCTTCAAGAAAGCCTGGATACATCAACAGAATTACTCAAATGCTTGAAGTCAGGGATACGCTAAACTAGTCTGATAAAATTAGGTCCAATATACGTGGTACTACTACTCACAACAGCAAACAACCCATGAACATTCCTATCCTAAAACTGAGAAGAGTAAGAGACTCTTAGATACTACAGTAGCAGGCTCTATAAATAGATGGCAGTATGGTATAAACAGAGGAAGGAAAAAAAAAAATCTGATGATTGGTAGATCTTAAGAGCTGTCCCTAGAGGCCCAGGGAGGAGCACCTTCAAATTCTAAAACAATTATTTCATCAGGTGATTGTTCTAAAACATCCACCTCCCACAGAAAGAATACCGCAAACTAATTGTTAAAAACCTGATACAAAGGACTTTCTTCTCATCACAAAAGCAAACCTTTTGGTGCTTTTTAGATGGTCAGGACCAACAGCAGCTAAGAGATTTCAACACTAGTAGACCACTCGTGCATGGATCCACAATCCAATTTCTACTCTGGAGAGGAGCAGATGCTTGATACCAAATCCCAGTCGATCCAAGAATCATAACCTCTCATGAAATGCAGGAGTGTCTACCTTCTCACCGTATGTAGTGCCTAACTATTTGGGTTATCTCCATCCTTTATTACTGGATGAATCTTGCAAAAAGGCTAATCAGACACCATCTCGGGGGAGCAGATTACATGGCTACAATACCCTGTTCACGCTAGCTAGAATGTGCTATCTTCAAAAGTGGAATTAAATTTACAGCCTCTTTCATGGATGCATAACCACACCTTGGTTCAAGTGTAGCTATTTTTAAAAGCATGCCATTGTTTTTTGTTCATAATTTTGAATATAGTAACTATCTACATTTGAATATTACGTAATTTGAACATTACAAAAATTAACTAAAGGTGCAATTGTCCACCTGTGTTAATGTCTTAAAATCTGACACATTTGTATCCTTGTTTGCCGATAAAATGGCTACAGATTTTTGAATATCATTATTTTTTCACTTTTCCAGATCAAAATGATTTTTGTTTTAAATCTATTGTACATTTATCAAACATGTTTGACTTTAGTTTAAAAATGTGTAGCTCTATAAATAATGAATTTGTATTTCTATTTATATTCTGCAGACAAGAAATATCTCACTTCATACCTTGCAAAAACACACAGCTTTGTATGTCATATGCTTTAAAACATGAATCAAATCTAAACATTAACTCTCACAAATTATCTTTATCTTAAACCATTAGCCATTTATTGTAGTCTTTCACAGGAAGTTCATTCATTACATCCTTGTTCTTCCAACCTACTTTCATCAAGTTCACGAGAAATAATTCATATGAAACTAATACACATGTGGTGTCCTATATCTTCATCATTCACTTCTTTCCCATCTGTTATCACCTACAATTTAGCTAATCCAGGCTATTACGTGCTTTATTATGCAAAGAAAAATAAAGAGTTTCTCAGTAGTGGATAGCACAGCAGAAAACTAATACCACACACATACTCATATACACAATAAAAACTGCTAGTGAAATGCGTCAACCAAGAACTTCTCGCTTTTCAAAGAATGCCTTGGTGGGAAGCAACATTAGAATAAAAGGAAGCAGAAATATCCACCTTTTTAAGTATATTGGCCTTTGTACAGTAATATATTTTCCTGATTTCTAATCTTTCTATTCTCTTCTACTGTGATGTTCTCCTTTGTTACATTTTAAATATAAAAATTTCTACCACATTCCTTTGGTGTCTCTTCATGTTTTAGTTCTCCTTTAGTATTTCTGATTTAACACCTAAACGTTCATGTTTTCCTTTTTTCTTTTTTTGAATTTCAACTCTGAAATAAACTCACTTATCTTTCTGAAAAACTGAGATCTGCACATTCCCTACACATTTGTGGCATTACTCTGGAATGCCACAAACTAGAACCGACAGAGTATTCCAAAAGTGCATGTTTTTTCCTAAAACTAAAAATCGTAACAAAAACCTATGCTCCGAGAGAAATTCGGGGTGGTAGTTCATTGGCATTTCATTCATGAGTAGTAGAAAGAAAAGACATACAAGCACATTACATGTGCTCAGTAGCTTTCTGAAGTATTTTTTCATTATTAGGGTAAAGAAAAGGAATAAGGACTTTTTTTCTGTAGCCCAATGCTCTGTACTCCAAACAGACATCTTTCTCAGGCCAATAAAATACAGTAGCTGAAGTTTTACAATACAAGGGAAAGAAAGAGAAATTCAAAGAATGATACAGTTATAGAAGACAGATTACATATGAACTGCATTCAACAATAACGGTTACTGTAAGAGTACAAGTGCTGCTTGTACCTTGTGCTGCTATTCCAGCAGTAGAAGCTGTGCATTTCTCATCTCAATGTCTTGAAAGAAGTTGCGATGGTGAATTTAACAAGGAGACATCAAGATTTGTACACAACACTACATGTAAATAGAACTTCTGGTCACTGAGCAAGAAAAATTTACCTGGTTAGGTTATGTCATTGCTTCCCCCTATAAAAGTGCAGGGAGAAGGGAAGTTACCTTAAACAAAGGATGTAATGATATTTTAAAAAAACCAAACCAACCTACTTTTTGTTAATGATTTAACTAATGAGGGACTTGATCTCTGTGAAATTCAGCTTCAGTAAAGAATTATTTTCATACTATAAGCATCGAACTGCTGGTTCACTGAAGCCAAATAGTTCTACTGATATGTTCAATGGAAACAGTATTCTACATCTAAAATTACGTTGCTTTTAGGAGACAGTGAGGGTACATAACCTCAGTTATTTTCTTACTCAAGGGAAAAAAACCACACTTGCGTAGGGGGATTGTAACAGTTCTAGATTAAAGAAACTATATGAAAGACTTGAATCTCAAGCAATAAAAATTAAGTTATTTTTATACAACAGTAGATGAGATTTAAAAATTCCCTGATATACATTTAATTATCTCATACTTGAAAATAGTAATTCAGAATGCATTTCATCCTGCTACACTGAAAGTCAGGAAATGACTTGATGATGGTACAATAATGAAAATGTTCTCTTTTGCATTTCATAATTTAAAAATCACTGTGAAGTTATCAATAACATAGAAAAGTCTCCTCTGTTAGGTCAAGGGCAACATTTGTTCACCTTACTTAAAGATCATTAAAATACATTCTTAATCATAACATGTAGTTCATTACAAATAAAATTGCCTTTGGTTCAATAAAACTAATTAAATGTAAATTGTATTGTTTACTGCTGTATGGATCTTCTGATATAAATCAGCAAGTCACCATTTATTGAAAATTACAGTGACCTCATTGCTGTTAATAAATTTAGTTGATCACACGAAGCTAGAGAAGAATGCTTCAGAACATGCGTATTGCCAGAACTGCCCCACCTATAACTTTGAAACTGCAAGAAACCTAATCTAGGTGTTACAAAGTTTGCTGCTCAGCCGTCATTAAATGACTTGTTGAAATTTTAATTCTCTGATCACATTAAGTGCTTTAGAAAGACAACAAAATCTGTACTGATCATCTTGGTGGTGTCATCTGTTCTTTAAGAAAAGCTCTGAAGGTCTGCAGGTTTGTTTATTCTGGGTGTCACAGTGGGTAGGGTTACAGTGCTGCTCTGTCGACACGACTGACAGCTCATGCCAATGCAAGATACTCACTGCCTTTACATCAGGTAACTACAGAAATCAAAACGAGTGACAATTACGGAGAGTATATTCTGTCACACACATGATCAAATTGTTTATAGTCTATTTTACGCTCAACTTGCACACGTTCTCTTAAATTATGAAAAATACATTTCAATATGTAAATACGACCTGTAAGCCTCAGCAAGGGCAAAACGCCGGAGCCCAGAGATCGCGCCCCACACCTCACTGCACGCCTCTGTCTGAACAGGTTCTCTTTGTGAGCGGACTCCCTGCAGCCAACTGCTGGTTTATCATGAACACGTATGAAGCTAACCTTGGAAACAGAACCCATTCTTGTGGCCACCCATACAAATATGAGCCTTCAATCCAGTGTAAAGGCAGTATTGAATTAAAACGCAAGCTTTGCGTCTTTGACACGGACAAGACTAATAGAACTTCGGGCTCTCCACGTAATCCTCCGTAGGCACAGAACCTATCGAAGTATCGTGCTCTACCCGCCTTCTTCACCGCGCCTCTCAACTCATCCAAAGTCAGTTTTGCGACTCACAACACGACAGCCCGCGACATGGCGCCCCTCCCGGGCGGGACTCGCCCTCAC